TGGATCATTTGGGATGTTTGGAGCAGCATTAGCCATCTACATTTAAGGCCTTCTATCAAAAACACCTCATGCTTTAAGTCTGTCATTTGACAGCTTTTATGATCTCAGCCTTTGGATACAATTACATCTCCCTTTTGCAAGTAAACTTGGTTTCTGTCACTTGCCAGTCAGAAATTTGCTGTGTCCTTCCATTTCCTAATGGGGAGAGCTCTCAACATGATCCCTTCAGCTCCTGTCCTAAACTGCCTTGCACTGACATCAGAAATACTTCTGTCACTGAATTCCTTTTTGCTAATGCTGTTATATACTTCTCTGGGAAGAAAGATTGTGTTTTAATTAATAGCATTGGTTATGAGTGACTTAATTAATCTGAAAATTGTGAAGGAATCTAAAAAGTGTAAATCCAGGGTGAAATTATAGAGAAGAGGATGTTTCTTACTCAGTTGCACCCTCTGGATTTTTGTTGTATCACATAATGACTTGGAAATTAAATGAGAGGAGTTTTTTGCCAAGTGAAATGTAATGTATGGATAATATTATGTATGAAGACATTCAGTGCATGCTGACAGAAGGGCAGGGTGGCTTGGCAGGAGCTGCACTGATTACAAGCAGAGGGAGTTAATGATTTCCCCACACTGGAAATCAGTCATGATGGGGATTGCAGCAGCCTGGATCTAATTTGCTTTAATGTAACTGATAACTTGATTGTACAGTTCAAGAGACACTGAGAGGGTGCCTGGGGCTGGTGCCCTGAGCAGTGGGCAGGAAAGGAGCCCTGGAGCCCTGAGCAGTGGGNTGATTTCATGTAGAGAAACTCTGCTGCCTTCCAGCACTCCTGACGTTGCAGTTTCCCATTCTTTTCACTCAGTTTGGAGCCATACTGGTTTGTATTAGAGTGAGTCTGCCTCTCTTGGATGTTTAGGGGAGCAGTTAAAGCAGAGACACACTGCCAGAAGAATGTTAATAGAGATGTTCTCCAAGCTGCCTGGATTCTAAGGCTTTATTTCAGACCTGATTTGTTTCAGAAGCCCCACAGATTCAGCCCTTGAATGCTCTGCTGATTGGTCTTTATTGTGTTTTAAGGAATTGTGGTAGACCCTCGACACCTTTCACTTGTGGCAGACTACATGTGTTTTGAAGGAATTTACAAGCCACTGAATCGCATTGGAATTCAGTCCAACTCCTCCCCTCTGCAGCAGATGACATTTGAAACCAGCTACAAATTCTTGAAGGATGCAACAATGATGGGTAAATGCTTTAGTTTGAATCTCTTGCTGCAGCATTTCACATATGCTTGGTTTCTGTCATAACTTTCCAGTATTTTGAGTAATCCGTAATTACATTAGAAAATATGCCAGAAGCAGATATTTAAAATAAGGCTTTGCCTGGGAAAATGTTCCAGATGTTTTTAGTAAAATTCTGTCAGCTTAAATAAAACCAGCTCCCACATGTAATCTGTGGGGTCTGTGACTCCCTTCTTTAAGAATTAGATGGGCCTTTTTACAACAAACCTTAAGGTTGTTAGGATTTGTTATAGCTAAGCTTTATAACAGACTACTAAATCTGCCTTTTTCTGTCTCTACTATTAAAATTGTCTTCTCTGCTTTGTTTTTCTGCCCTTGTTATAACTTCCATACCTTTTCCAGCCTTGCTATTCAGCATTTTATTTTGAGGAAAGAACTGGCTGATTTAGCAGTTTATCTTTGCTTTTTCCCCTCAAACACAGACAGAGAGTCAGACTCATTTGTCTGATGGTAGGTTTCTGGTGCCATTTGAGATTCCTAAGGATCTCAATGAAAGAATCTCAATTCT